ATCTACAAGCAATGCTAGATTGCTAGGCCGGGAAATGGACTAACAGATTCCTGAAGATACATTAAGCTTGCATATTGGTTGGTTTCGTGCTGAGAACTGGACATATCCTACTCCAATTTGTAAGACATATTTGTCATGTATTATACATTTGCGCTGGTGTTCGTTGCTGTTCAATAAAGATATAGTGGAACAAGTTCTCTCCTTTTGTTTTCCTCCCTCGTCTAGTGTGTAGCTGAAGTATTTGTTTAAGCAATTGAGCACGTTAGCTGAGACGCAAGCGGGGAATAACTTTTTTTTAGAGGAAGAGGAGAATAACTTGTTTGTCTGTTCTTTTTTTAAAAAAAAAATCTTGTCCGGCTGCTTTTCGCAATGGATGAAAAACCACACCCTCACCCGCCGAACGGCACCCATCGTACCACCAACCCGGTAAACCTAAGGATGGCAACGGATCGGGTTTGGGGCGGATATCCGCGGGTTTAGGTTTGGGGATGGTTTTTCATCCACGGTTTTTGGTTCGGGGCCCCGAAACCAATCGGGTTCGGTTTCGGGTTCGGTTTTCCACCCGTGGATATCCAATGGATATCCGAAATAAATCATTTGGAATTAAAACTCATGTTTTATAATATACTAATAATAATTTGTTTACTTAGATTATTAAATTTATTTAAAGTTGACTCATGAAAATATTTATTATTTGTTGCCTCTTGTTTATACATGTGAATATGTGTATATATATCCGTGGGTTTCAGGTATCCGTTCGGGTTTCGGGTATCCGTGGGTTTGGTTTTGGTGATGGATTTCCACCCGAATCGGTTTTCGGGGCGGATTCGGTTTCGGTTTTGGGTGCACGGAGACTTCACCCGATTCGAACCCGACCCGTTGCCATCCTTAGATAAACTGCTATCCTTAGGTAAACCAGAGAAGGGAGCCAAGCACAAGAATCTGGGTTTTTTTTTTGGCTCATCACATCTAGCTCCAATCCAAAGCCCCTCTAGATTTTTTTTGAGCTAGGCGGTGACACATTGAAGTTATTTTGATGAATATATTTGTTATTATTTTTAATTAAAAATATGTATTTTAAACACTTTATTTATCATACAACTTCTAATTCTACATGATCTTGGAGCTAGAGCTATGTGCCATTAGTGTATACTTGAGCTATATTTCTTGTTGCAAATAGTAGTATATGTAATATTTTTTCTTCTGCTCGGGCATGGTCTGTGAGTTCCACGCATTAAATGTCCGTTTGGGTATGGTCCGTGAGTTCTACGCATTAGATGGATACACAATGGTGATTGGCTGTTATCATTCATTGACAAGCATGTTTCCTACTACTTTTGGGGGTTTGGATATGTACCATCTTATTTTGCCAAACTTGAGCTTTTTTTATAGAGGTGCTTGCCAAAAAAGAGAGAAATTTCTCTTCTAACCTACATTTGGCGTCAAATGACATGTAGTAGACTTACTAACAGTGTATCTCTTGCTACTACACCTATCCACCCATCACCTATCAAGAGGCACAAATTATAAAATGTACCCTAGCAAAATATTATGAGATGCTACATAGTTTTTAACACAACCATGTTTCAATGGCCCTGAGGTATTGTTGCATCATCGCGTCCTTGATACTACACTACCCTCACCTCTCTAAAATTCCAAGTGCTTTGTTTTTTCTACCCTCATCCTATTCACCAATTGGACCAACCTCTACAATACCAAAAATAGACAATAAGATGGCCCATAGTTTCCAACTCAACTTAATTTCCATTTACACTAAGCCGTATTTTTGTTAAAAATATCATGTAACTAAAGTTACATTTCATGTCTTAAAATTGGTTATTTCCCACCATCCAACGTACCTTGAAAACATGTTCTAGACTTAAAAATAGTCAACTCTAGCACATTTTAAAAATCATGGTAATTAACATTTATCTTTTGTAGGTGCACTAAAATAACTATGAGAATTAAATATCGATCACGTTTATTACGACATATCAGTTCTAATTTTAGCTGTAGACATACACCATACTGTTTTAGCCAGTTCAACACTTGCACATAATTTGAATTTCCAATCAAGGAAGAAAAGACTGCCTTCTGGCCGCATATTTGATGTACAACCGTTGATATGTGATAATGGTATTGTTGCATTGTCTTATGTCTTGGCTACCACACCTACAGAGAGTGTTTTACAACTAAACATTGTCACAACTAGCTATTTTAAAAGTTCACGGTAATCAATGCTTTCTTTTTAATTAGGCGCGCTAGATAATATCTAGTGGCTCAACATATTCATTCTATGATAGATAGGTTTCCATTTTGGGTTTAAACATGCACCGTCACTTTCTATTGTGGGTCATGGAATTTGAATTAGCAAGTAATAAAGAAGAAAAAAGTTGTTTCATAACAACATATTTAGTGTGAAAATTGATCCCAGTCATTGGTACATGACAGAGATACTGCTGCAGTCTCATGTCATGCTACCACATCTACGTGACTAACCCCACCTCTCTAAAATTCCAAGTGCATTGTTCTTTCTTGAACATTTTGCACAATTCACCAATCTGATCAACTTCTAGAATCTATGCAAAGGACAGCGAGATGGCCCATAGTTTCCAACTCAACTCCATTTCATGTGACACTTAGTCGTATTTCCGCTAAAAATATCACATGTCAAAGTTTTATTTCTTGCTCAAAATTAGTTATTTTCCACCATCCAACGTACATTAAAAACATGTTCTAGACTTAAAAATAGTGAACTAGCACATTTTGAAAATCATGGTAATTAACATTTATCTTCTGTAGGTGCCCTAAAATCATGAGGAGAATTAAATACTGATCAGTTCTAATCTTATCTGTAGACATGTACCATACTGTTTTAGCCAGTTTAACACATGCACGTAATTTGAATTTGCAAGCAAGGAAGAAAAGACAGTCTTCTGACCGCATATTTGATGTGGATGTTGATCTCTACCGTTGATATGTGATAGAGGTACTGTCGCACTATCTTATGTCTTGGCTACTGCACCTAGAAAAAATGCTCTACGACTAAACATTGTCACAACTAGCTATTTTAAAAGTTCATGGTAATCAACGCTTTCTTTTTTAATTAGGAGCGCTAGATAATATCTAGTGGCTCAATATGTTCATTCTATGATAGATTGGTTTCCGTTCTTGGTTTAACATGCACAACCAATTTTTATTGTAGGTCATAGGATTTGGATTTGCAAGTAAGGAAGAAAAAAGTTGTTTCATAACAACATATTTAGTGTGAAAAATGATCTTGGTCATTGGTACATGACAAAGATATTGATGCAGCGTCACGTCATGCTACCACATCTATCTGACTAACCCCGCCTCTCTAAAATTCCAAGTGCATTGTTCTTTCTCCAACATTTCGCACAATTCACCAATCGTACCAACAGCTAGAATCTATACAAAGGACAATGAGATGACACATAGTTTCCAACTCAACTCCATTTCGAGTGATACTTAGTCATATTTCTGTTAAAAATATCACATGTCAAAGTTTTATTTCTTGCTCAAATTAGTTATTTTCCACCATCCAACGTACATTGAAAACATGTTCTAGACTTTAAAATAGTTACAACTAGCACATTTTAAAAATCATGGTAATTAACATTTATCTTTTGTAGGTGCCCTAAAATCACGAGGAAAATTAAATACTGATCACGTTTGTAACGGCGGATCGGTTCTAATTTTAGCTGTAGACATGCACCATACTATTTTGGCCAGTTCAACACTTGCACATAATTTGAATTTGCAAGCAAGGAAGAAAAGACGTCCTTTCGCATATTCGATGTGGATGTTGATCTCTACCGTTGATATGTGATAGAGGTATTGTCGCATTGTCTTATGTCTTGGCTACCACACCTATGGAAAAATGCTCTACAGCTAAACATTGTCACAACTAGCTATTTTAAAAGTTCATGGTAATCAACGCTTTCTTTTTAATTAGGCGCACTAGATAATATCTAGTAGCTCAACATGTTCTTTCTATGATAGATTGGTTTCCGTTTTCGGTTTAAACATGCACCGCCACTTTTTATGTAGGTCATAGAATTTTAATTCGCATGTAAAGAAGGAAAAAAGTTGTTTTATAGCAACATATTTAGTGTGAAAATTGATCTCGGTCGTTGGTACATGACAGAGACATTGTTGCGCCGTCATGTCATGCTACCACATCTACTAACCCCACCTCTCTAAAAATCCAAGTGCATTGTTCTTTCTCTAACATTTTGTATCCACCAATTAGACTAACTTCTAAAGCCTATACAAAGGACAATGAGATGACACATAATTTTCAACTCAACTTCATTTCGAGTGACACTTAAGTATTTCTGTTAAAAATATCATATAGCAAAGTTTTATTTCTTGCTCAAAACTAGTTATTTTTCACCATCCAATGTATGTTGAAAACATGTTCTTAAAAATAGTCACAACTAGCACATTTTAAAAATCATGGTAATTAACATTTCTCTTATGTAGTTGCATGAAATCGTATAAGGAGAATCAAATACTGATCACGTTTATCACGGTGGAACGCTTCTAATTTTAGATGTAGACATGTACCATCTTCTTTTGTCCAGTTCAACACTTACACATACAGGCTTGTTTGACTATTGGCTAGGTAAAGCTCTCTGGGCCACGCAGCAAGACTAATGTCTGATTTGGGATGGCTATAACCACCAGTATGGCTTGTCTGGCCAGGCAGCGCTTGCCAGCGTACCATCCAAACACGACCATAATTTGAATTTGCAAGCACAAGAAAGAAAAGACTCCGCTGCACATTTCATGTGGATGTGATCTCAGCCGTTGATATGTGATAGAGGTATTGCCGCATCGTCTCCTGTCTAGGCTACCACACCTACCCCCTCCTATCTCTCCTCTAAAAATCCAGAGGCTTCGGCCCCCTTCTCGAGCCTTTCGCCCAATTCCCCAATCGGACCAAACCCTAGGAGAGATTCGATCGGAAATTTGGCATGGCAATGTCAGATCTCACAGCAACCGTGATCCCAAAGCCAGACGGGGCGGACGACGAGTCGGTGGAGATCCGAGAGGTGTGGGCGGACAACCTGGAGGAGGAGTTCGCGCTGATCCGCGACATCGTCGACGAGTTCCCGTTCGTCGCGATGGACACGGAGTTCCCGGGCATCGTCTGCCGGCCCGTCGGCTCCTTCCGCTCCCCCGCCGACTACAACTACGCCACCCTCAAGGCCAACGTTGACATGCTGCACCTCATCCAGGTCGGCCTCACCTTCTCTGGGCCGGGCGGCGAGCTGCCGGCCCTCGGTGCTGGCCGCCGCCGCTGCGTCTGGCAGTTCAACTTCCGCGAGTTCGACGACGCGCGCGACATCTTCGCGTCCGACTCCATCGAACTGCTCCGTCGCAGCGGCATCGACTTCCGCATCAACGCCGAGCGCGGCGTCGATGCCCGACGGTTCGCCGAGCTCCTCATGTCCTCTGGCGTCGTGCTCAACGATTCCGTATACTGGGTCACCTTCCACGCAGGATACGACTTCGGGTACCTACTGAAGATTCTCACCTGCAATAGCCTCCCAGACACACAAACCGGGTTCTTTAAACTTATGAAGATATATTTCCCGACTGTGTATGACATCAAGCATCTCATGAAGTTCTGCAACAGCCTGCACGGCGGGCTGGACAAGCTCGCTGAGCTACTTGATGTGGAGCGCGTTGGGGAGTCTCATCAGGCTGGGTCCGATAGCCTGGTCACGTCCTGTGCATTCTGGAAGCTCAAGGATTCATTCTTCGTGGGCTCAACAGAGAAATATGCAGGTGTCCTGTACGGGCTCAATGCAGAGAATGGTGTTAGTGCACATTGAGGGGTATCACTCTCTTTGAATTTTAGCTTTGTGAATGTATTGATTTAGGACAGAAAGGGTGACAAGTGTGCAAGAGGGCTCACTGAAACATAAGTCTGTAGGTTAAGTCTGTCTCACTCATTTGGGTGTATTTGGGATGTAGTGTTCTCTGGTTGCTCATTATTGAAATAGCTATTTCTCTTCTCTTTCAGCTTTTGTTCTCAATTTTTATTTTCTCCAAGCAAGTTACTACACTCGATTAAAAATAGTAAAAGATGACCTCTGAGAATTAAGCCATGATACTTGCATTGCCACAATTTGTACGACCCATAGTCTAATTTAATTTTCTTTATTTCTTTATCTTCATGGTAAAAGAATTGATATATGATGCCTTTTTATATGAGCAGCTGATTGTCTCGAAAGAGTAATAGTGTAATACTACGTTATAATATCTAAGCATTTGTGAGCATAAACTTGGTGATGCTATACAAGAGAAAATGCCACCCACATTCACATGGCTATGCCTGAGGATGGCTCTCTTAAGGTTCCCACAATAAAGAAACAGCTATAATATACTTTAGGAGACTAATACTTCATAATCCATCATCTATCCTTAGAGTAAGCACATCACCCATTTCATTTTAAAGCTGCAACTTTTCCAGAAATAGGATTCTGAATGCATCTTGATTGAAAATTTCTGGTTTCGGTAATTGTGTATGCAAGTCACATTCTACTTTCCAGTATTCTTCCATATGAGATGGAGCTAACATATTTCAGTAAAAATTCCCAACAGCAGCTTGGAAAGCTCTCACTTGATAGTTGTGCACGACATGTTTCTTTCTTTTTTTACTAAGGCCTTGTAGAATCTGTTTATGGAATCTGACCTTCATGCTAGTGCCTAGTGCTCCAATTGACTGTTGGAGTTTCTGTCTATGTAAGTGTATCTTTGCATGAGGACAATTACAGGTAGCATTGTTTGAGGTTGAAATATTTGAGTAATTTAGAGTTTAACAACCCCTCTCTGGCCCTCATTCTTCCAAAATGTAGGTCGTTTTAGTTATGTTCTAGGTCAAACTTCTCTAACTTTGACCAAGTGTATAGAAACATGCACCATCTACAACATCAAAATTAGTTACGTTAAATCCACCATGAAAATATGTCTTGATAGTGTATTTATTTTGTATTTGTAAGTGTTGATAGTTTTTTTTGTATATACTTGGTCAAAGTTAGAGAAGTTTGTCTTAGGAAAAAACTAACCTACATTTTAAAACAGAGGGAGTATTATATATGTTTTTAGAATTATTCTTTCTAACTATGCACTGAACATTCAGCGGCTTATTTTCTTCTTGGACACTTCTCTCCATGATACACGGTGTATCTAATAAAAATGTTCTGAGCCATTGAGATATATTTATTGATGCTGATGCAAGTTTACAAATGTGCATTGCATATATAAATGTGCATCTACTGCCAAAGTACAAATGTGCATTGCATTCAATTCGTTTTCTTTAATCTTTATTACTGTTGTTGTATATCTTGTGCTGATCATTTGAGCACTTTCAGGGCAATTTCATTGCCAGATGCATCCTGCTTGCCTTTTTTCCCCTGCTTTTATAATATTTGAATTTGACTGTCGATTGTTGTGGTACTTATTGATTGTGCCTTCCCTTTTCACGTGGTACTTTAGCCTGTTCATTTTGTCCATGTTTCGTGGTGTTGTTGATCCCGGTAGATGGCCTGGATCATTTGCCTGATTACTTTTACATCTGCCTCTTAAAGATTCCATATCCCAGTATACCATCTCCATTGAGAAAATAGGTTCGGTTTGAATTAGCCTGCATCTGGGCCAGGGTTGGTGGTCGTTAAGGTTTGATCGTTTTAATTTTTTTTGCTTAGCCTGCTCTTTATGTTGATTATCATCTATTATTGATGCGACTGATATTGTTCACCTTGGCCATTGCCTTTTGCCTGCTTATTATCCCCTTGGATCTTGTAATGGTTACAAGTGACACCCTTGTATAAGGCAGAGTGAGGTTCCTGAATTGGCACTATGCAAGATTGGTATTTACACCAGATTCATAAAACCTCCATACATCACACCTAAAGGTTATCATGAACTTTGATTTTTCCTAGGATTTGCAAAACATAGTTTCCTGGTACCTGTTAATATGTAATTATCTGGATACATCACTAATGGCATGAGTGCTAACTTTTGAACTCCCCCCACCCCACCCCACCAAAAAAAGAAGGATGCTTCGGTTGCACAAATAAAATAAACAAGCTTTAGATTGTTTTGGTTGTCTAAATGTCCTATATTAATGACTTGAGCAAGTAATGTATCGATGTTAAGCTTTCTATAATAAAAGATGAAAAGGTATCAAAGTTGATTTCCAAATAACATTACTGAAAAACGAAAACAAAAGGCTGCATTCTCTAGCTCATCTATTTTGCCAGTTACACACTAACTCCAAATTTGTATGCAAAAGTACTTCTGAGAATGAAACCAAATTTGCAATTCACTTTGTTCAAACCCACTGCCGAAGCACGTTTTTGGAGATTGATCAGTGGGAAATTCTCCCAGAACAATTCATAAGAGAGATGTTACACGCAGATGTTACGTGGCTGCAAACCAGCTTTTCGTGGATAGTGATTTTGAGAAACAAATAAGCAAAGCTATGTGCTTGCATCATAAAACTGGTTGCACCACTAATTACAGGAAATGACTAGGGAATGTTGATTCAGGTTCGATGAGGTTCTGATAGTCCAGAGGTTCAGGTGATCCTTGAGAAGCTGTAAGCATTCTTCTGTGCTGATTCAGGTCATCAGGTGATACACTGATACCTTCATGTTCCACACAAATACACTGTAAGATTCCCAAGATGGAGTTGTTCAGATTAGCAGGACTGCAGGAACACCAAACAGGGTCTCCAGGAGCGCCTTTTTTTGTATCTAGTAATTTGCAGGTTCAACTTGCCGCTCTTCACTTTGCAGCTCTAATTGACAAAGTCAAATGAATGATATTTATCATTTGACTGGTGATTGCCTGTTCCAGTTAAAGACTATCCATTGCATGTGATATCTATCTTGCCAGCAAGTATGATCAACCGGTCCATTTCTTCGTCCATATCAATCTGATCTTTTGCAATCATCTCAAGGATATTCGGTGGCACAACATCAGCATTGATATATGCTCGAATCAATGACTTATACAGGGGCAAGCTTGTCAAGTTAAACCTCTGGAGAACCTTAATGTATCGATATGCATCGTCAAAATTTCCTTGCTCTTCGAAATGTTTGCCAATGGCCTCCATCAGTTCAAGTGGAGGTCTCCAATGGCAACTCTTCAACAGAGAGAAACCTTTCTTCATGCAACCCACAGCTTTGTCCATCTGCCTACTCTGAACATAACCCTCCATCAATATCTCCCATGTCTTGTAATTTGGACATGCTCCTTTCTCTAGCATGTGGAGGTGGAGCCTCTCAGCCTTTTCAATCCACCTATTCCTCACATAAGCACCAAGAAGAGCATTTGAAACCCGCACATCATGCTTCCTGCACCCTCCTTCCCAGCTTCCAAAGATCCACTCGGCCTGGCTGATGTCGCCAACTTTTATTGAACATAACATAGCAGTCATGTAGTTTGCAGTGGGGATTCTACCTGGCACACTTTTGCTAGCCTCCCACAATCTCATAACTCCATCGCTGTCATTCAGAGCCGCATAACATGTCATTACAAAAGAGTATCCTAAGCGCCCTGTTGGTGACAGTTTTGTTTCAGCTTTCCTAAGGCAAGCTTGCGCTTTAGTGTTCAGTCCATTCTTCCTGAAAATGTTGGCTAGTGTGCAGTATGTGCTCCAACCAACCTCGACCGTCTCATCATTCAACATCTCCTGGAACACTGATTGTACTGAGGCAACACCAGAGACTTCAGCACAAGCATTCATCCAAAGGTTGTAGGAGAGAACATTTCTGGGAATGTTGTTCCGTTTCATGAGGTCAATAACACTAAGGACCTTCTCATACTGACAGGTTGCAACATAGAGTTTCATGATTTCATTGAAAGAGTGAGGATCTACAGGCAACCCGTGACTCTGCAACTGGGCCATGAAGTATTCAGCCTTCTGTACATTTCTTTCTGTAACATAGCAGTGGAGGAGAGGGAACGATGCAGCTTGTCTGGCAGCAGGGCTCTGTAGTTTGTTGTAGTATTCCTCAGCTTGAGAAGTACTGTAACCTTTAGCAATCAAGTCCAGTCTTGCTGCATGATCCCATGACGACAGTTGAAGAGAGTTGCATGATTCCATCCAAGAGAAAATCTGCAGCACAATGTACCCTTTAATATGCCACGGAATATCTTATACCAATGCTGTCAATAACATTACAGCCAAGCTGCTAAACCCCTCGTATCCCAAGCTTCAGGGTCATGATCGAACATAAGAAATAGGTGCCCCTTGCTATCAACTCTTTAACGAATCAGTACCACATGATTTGCAATAAAAATTAGAAATAACAAATCGAATTTATCACTTGTATGTAACAATCAGCTCAGACGAAAAACTCCAGATCAGACTACACTTGCAGTCTGACAATGCGAAGGCCAAGAATGCAAAAACGATTCCAATTGTCTATAGAAAGGGGCAGCAATAGTGTCACTGAACTCTCATTCCTCGTTCGTTTTATTAGATTAGATCCTTCATTCAAATGATACAGTAACAGTCAGTGCGTCGACAAAAACCAGAGCCAGGAGAACCCAAAAGTTCCGCTACTCACCTCGAGGGCGTGCTCGTAGCGGCGCGCGCGCCGGAGCATCACGATTGCGCGACGGAGCTCCGGCTGCGAGATGTGGACGCGCTCCCGGGCCCATCTCTCGATGGCAGCCGCGGCGGCCCCGCGCGGCGAGCGGAAGCGGAGCCGGAGCAGGCGCCGCGAGAGGAGGCCACTCTCGTCCTCGCGGACCCGGTCGGCCGCGAGAGGCGCGGAGATGGTCGAGGAGGAGAAGGCGAAGGAGAGGTGTGGCTTAGGGTTTGGTCGCGTGCGGGAGGCGAGGCCGAGGCCGAGGAGGCCGGCGAGGCGCAAGGGCACGGCAGCGGCCATCGCCCGTGGGCCTGGTTTGTCGTGGACTCGTGGGATTTTGGCTTGTGTGGCGGTCAGGTCGAGTTGGCATTGGGTTCGGCAGCAGCTGAGCGTCAAATTCAAATCTCCCAATTTGTTTTGAACTTTTGAATTTGTTTACATGAATACAACGTGTCATTACTCAATCAAACGGTTTACGTTTAGGCCATCAGTGTGTTAACAACACGCAAATTGGCCCCAGACTCGTTTTAGAATCAACCCATCCAGGTCCGGCCCACTCTCCTCTCTCCAGCGCTGCTCGCGTGTCCGGTGTCCCTCTCTTTATTCTGTCACAGTTCCCTTCCTTGCCTCCCAGCCATTCGATGAAATGCCTCAGCGTGCTTGTCTCATTGTTTGCCGACAAAAATAATAATACTTACTGTAGATTCTTATGCTAGAGGTCTAACAGCTGTCATTGGTAAGTTTATTGAAAGCTTCTTTTTTCGTTACAAGATTAAATCTCTCCATCATTCTAATCCACTAACCCATAAACAAAGGTGGCATACCGTCCACTTGGAAGATGTAAATAAGGCTCAAGAGCTAGCTCAATCATTTAATGTAAATATTGAACTCACTATGCATCTATCCAGATAAACTTCTTCCCTCATATTAAAACAAGCAACAGAGTATTGCGGATATAGAGTGATTGCAATTTGGTCTTCATCATCCCGTACTAGGCTTGCCGACCAGTAACCATGTGTTTGACAAAATGCCCATGTCTTACAAATATACAATTTCACGGGCTCCAATAGCCTCTTGCTTAATTTCATGAGCTGCGATGCTAATGGTTCCATCCCGTAAACCAACTACCCAGATAAACTTCCTCCCTGATATCAAAACAAGCAACAGAGTCTTGCAAATACAGGGCCAGGCTCACGCCGTTCAGCTTAGGCGAGTTAATCGTCGTAGCAAAGTGATTGCAATTTGGTCTTCATCCTCCCGTACTAGGCTTGCCGACCAGTGACCATGTGTTCGACGAAATTCCCATGTCTTACAAATATACAATTTCACGAGCTCTAGTAGCCTCTTGCTTGATTTGATGAGCTGCGATGCTAATGGTTCAATCCAGTAAACTGAATAAACTTTACTTTTGCTTTCAATTAGCCAAAATGTGATGTCTATCATGTAAGTTCATTTGCCCTCATTTCTGGGTTTTCTTCTTGGCATACACATCTGTGTGTTGATTGTACGGTGTCGATAATCTATTCCACGCTTCAGAGAGACCCTGCTGCAGCCCCTTGATGCAATGATGCGTTCCATCACAAATTGGTGCTTCAACCTAGAAAACACAGAATGAAAGGTGTAGAGTTCCTTTCCATATTTTCAGAGAAACAAGATTGAAGCAGCCGCCCTGCTCATCCAGCTAAGAGCAAATGCACAATAAAATCTGCACTTGTGCAACCGGGCTATCCACCTAAATTGATGCAATTTAAAACAACAAATGTACTGGTAGTGCGTGGAGACGCAATGATAGCTGCTGCAACATACTCAAGTGTATTGTGAACACACACAATCTATCTGGTTGACTGCCCGAGGGAAGTCCCATTTGATTTTAGAACATAGCAGTGTATGAAGTCATCATTAGAGTGCATAAGAAACCAGTACTTATTTTCTCTAATGAACAGATTAGTCAAGTCCATCGTCTTGGTCCTTTTTCTCTCTTTGTTATCCATGCAGTTCTATCCGACTATGGATACATCCAAGAAGAGTTTCCATGATCCCGAAGCTTTTCCATTCAGCAATGCCACAATACTTAATACTGATACTTGTTGTGTATTTTTTTACTTCTTATACTTCTACTCCTACCTAATGCTAAACCTATTGTGATCTACAACTGATTGGTTTATCAAAGTAAATTGGTTTAGCAAGTGTAGAAGTAGAACCTAGGTAACAGGATTAACTTCTAGCTTACCTCCTGGAGTTTGCTTTCCCTGTCAATTGATGCTAACTTGTATTTTCTTAAACTGTATGTGAATGATTATTTTTGCCTATGCCATTTTGTATTTCAGGCTATCGTTCCATCGTCGTCACAAGTCAATCGAGGATGATGATGAATTGGAGAGTATGAAGGACACTAAAGCTCACCTGGAATATGCTGGCAGCAAGTCTATGACCTAGTACTGGTACCTTCTTGAGCTTATGATATGAGTTGTTTGGTACTCCCTTCGTTCCAAATTATAAGTCGCTTTGACTTTTTTGATACATCTATTTTGCTATGCATCTAGATATAATAATATGTCTAGATACATAACAAAATGGATGAACTAAAAAAGTCAAAGTGACTTAAAATTTGGAACGGAGGGAGTACCCAGAAACTAGCTTACCCAGAAACTAGCTTGTTCGGCTTGTTTTTTTTCAGCCGGAACAGTATTTTTCTCTCACAACAATTCAGCCAGAACAGTGTTTTCAATCAGTTTCAGCCAAATTTCAGCCAGCCGAACAGGGCCATTTATTTCATATTTATGTAGTTGCTGTTTTGTTTTTATTCTCCAAAGTGAGCCCAGCATCACATTCTATATAAACTCACGTATGGCAGGATGCCCAATACAGGCAAGCCTGTGGTTTCTAGTAAACGACATGAAATTGTACCAAATTGGTTTTCTAATGGGATAAAACCATCCGAACTCTATATCAAATATGGGATACACCGCCGATTGAGGTGTCGAGCTACACATTCGATCTTTTATCAATCTACTCACTTTTTACTCCTTATATCTCTTCCAATCCCCTCGCTATCCTATATGTGTCCTTCGATGGGATTGCGGATGTTTTAGGTGACCTTGCCAATTCTATGACCCCCTCCCCCCTCCTCCTCAGATTCGTGGACATTTAAGTGCCCTTGCCGATTTTAGGACACCCTCACTATATGTCTCTCGACAAGTCTTCACGGGAGGCGCTCATGGGTTTATCAAATCGGTGGCCTTGTTGATTATAGGACACCCTCACTGTGTCACCCGACAGGTCTTAACAGGAAGCGTTCATGGGTTTATCAAGTTGACAAACCTCCGCTGCGTGTTTTGGCCTTGTCGACCTGCTAGTTAACATTGCCGTTTAGACCTCCCTCTTCTGCGTGTTTCAGCCGTTGCTGCCCGAACAATCTAGCTCTTGCTAATGTGTGACCGGAATTTGCGTCAACACAGTGTCTCCAGCTCAATTTAGCAAATGTACATTACCTTCCAGAATCCAGATATCTTACTGCTAGCACATTACATACAGAACAGACCTAGTAGTTACTGTATTTTCTTGGCTGTGAGCAGCATAGATAGGCGCACAGCTACAATTTTACCTAAGATTAACACTAGCTGCACAGCATACAATGAGAGATGAACACAGATGCAGATATGTGGAAGGTGGCGATCATATGCAGGCACCCAGGGAGTAGAAGTCACATCCCAGGTCATCGCTGAAGGAAGCATCGTCCTTCTCCTGCACGGGGATCAGCACTGCTGTTAGATGAAATGTAGCAGGTACTCCTTCCTTTCGTCAGAAGACGAACCCTGCACAGACTAGTTGGGAAACATAACAAGAGCTTCCTTACCACTTTGATTATGGAGTTGAGGAGGCCGTCGAAGCTGCAGCTGCTAGAGCTAAGCTCGCTGTGGACCCTAGGGAAGCTCAAATCCGATCGCGCTTTTTGAGTCGGTGTGTCTCCGGAGATAAACATGTCGATCCTCGTCTGTGGAGCAGCTGTTGAAGCACTTGCTGTTGTCTGTCCAACCATTGTGCCACCAAGGTTTCCGTTATTTGGTCTTTGGCTCATGGGATGATGACTTCCGATAAGATTCGGTGGTTGAGAGGTCGGCAAACAACTCCATATGAACTTGGGATTCAACAGATTGTCTGTGTTCCCTCCATCCATGCTCTGCCTCAAATTGCTTCCACCACCAAAATTCAAGTATTTTTGGTTTGGCACAGTGTCTGGAGACAAAAGTATCACATTACCAAAAGAGCTAGCTCCCACTTTGTTGTCTCTTGCTACCCTGAGGTCATTGGAGGGGCAAATATTTGTACCTCCAGAGGACGTAGCACCCAACTCGGCTATGTCGTTACTGCAAAGCGAGCCATTCATTCATTGGCGATGCACTGGTAGAAAAGGCAGACAATGGAACAACCCTCTGCTGGGATGCACAAGAATCCATCAGACTGGAGGAAACTCCAACAGTGCCTTCAAGACGATCTGAACTTCCAGATGAAGATGGCTGGATAACAACTTTGTCTTGTCTACATTCAACAAGGCCATGCTGCAGCAAATGACTATTTGTGACGCTTTGGAGTGTGCCAGGCACGCCATTATTAGCCCGGCCACTCACAGAAAGGATAGTAGATAGATCGTCAGTTTCTTCATGAAACCACTTTTGTGTCAGCTGGACCTGCCCAACTGAAGTTGTCAAACCTTGTGCCAAATTTCCTTGTCGGCTACTAGTACCTGGTAGGCTAAGGTGATATTTATTTGGATCGCCAATGGAATGACTTATTGTGGAATTGCCGGTTGCAATCTGAATTGGCCTGTAAGCAGACATCCCTTGAATTCCAAATGATGTTGGATTATTTCTATTTAACAACCCCTGTGGACTAAAAGATGGCAGAGCTGCTGAAGAGGCAAAAGATTGATAACCCTGGAGTCCTTCAAATGCACCCATCCGCATAAAGGGGTCGTTGCCTCCCAAACCAGCAACAATGCTAGCCTGTTGCAATGCCACAGCACTTAGCCGTTTAAGATAGAGTCTATACTTCTGCATGGCACACAAAAGCAAACAGTTTAGATGTGTAGTTTGTTTAGTATTGGACATGTACAGTAACAAGAGGGCCAATTTTGCATTCAAGATATGAAAGCTGAGTCCTTTTCAGCTTCACTATGTATGCAAGATGTAGTCCAAATCATTACACGATAAACTGAAAATGGAGCTATGGAACAAACTGTGTCCTTTCTTCCACGTTTATAAGACTGAATCAGCAAAAACCAAAGAACTTCAATCAATAAATATATGCACTTGTCACGAATTCCCACTGTATAATATGCCTAAAACAGGTATGTCTTTGCTTAATCAGGGGGGGTGAGGTGGCTTTCTTGTAGTAGTTAACAGTAATAATGTGTGAGCAAACAATCTATTAGCACTTTTTCATGCTCAAAAGCTCCAGGACACTTGCATATTTTTACAGAGCCTAATGCCAGATAGCTTGAAAAGTTAAGCCACACATCTTCTGAACAGTGGAAACTAAAAATTTAATGTTATCCTTATTACACGTACTGGTGAACCACACTACTGAACACCACAATTCTTGAGTTACCAGTACTTGCTAAACTGAACAAAGTGGGGTTAAGTCCATAAGTGTCTTGCCTGCAGGTGACTTGCAACATTTTCCCTGGTGAGTCTCTCAACATTCATGAGCTCAAGTATCCTTTTTGGCACAGCTTCTGCATTAACAGAAAAGATTAGGTTGTAGAATGGACCGTGGTAAATAACTTAACAGCAGCAAAGCTGAAAAAAGAACAGCGGGTGGCAGTGGGACTCACTGTCAATTCCTAGCTCATTGACAGCAGCAACAAATTTTCGGTGTAGTTCAACTGACCAAACAACCCTTGGTTTCTTTGGAGCTGAAGGATCATCGTTCTCTTGGCCATTACTCTCTTCTCCTTCATCTTCCTCTTCACTATGATATTCCTTCCTCTTCTTGTTGGGCCTTCCACATTGGTCAGGTGTCCAACCTGTAATTTGGCTGTGTACATGATCAAAATCTGCATTTGATGGCCTAGTGCACTCCTCATAACCATCAATGTTAGCACGCTCACAGTTACTGAATTTCCTTCTAACAACATGCTGCCAGATATTCCTAAGCTCTTCCAGCCGAACAGGTTTTAAGAGATAGTCACAGGCGCCATGAGTTATCCCCTTCATTACAGTTTTTGTCTCTCCATTCACCGATAACACTGCATGGATAATGACTGGTTAGCAAGTTTTGCATTCCTCCAATACAAGCTTAAGATTTGCTGTATGGCATGGATGCTTTGCAGATAGTATAAGAATATCATTAAGTAAAAGCTGCATATTACTATCAACAACAGTGAGAGTCGGCCACCAGTAAGATATAGCATTTTGGACTTACTAATGACAGGGAGGTCCATTTCGAGCCCCACAAGCTCCAGAAGCTTAAAGCCATCCATGTCTGGCATGTGCACATCACTGATAACAAGATCAAACAAGTCTCTGTTTTGCCTCAGCATCCTCAAGGCGACAACAGCCTGATTCGTCGTTGTCACTGCAAATACGAAACAATCCGGTCTTACAGATGAGTAGCTGTAGCAAAAGCCATAACAAGCATCTTGTACATACTGCATGAGAAACTACCTAACAACTTGTAGTAAAAGCCCCAAAAAATGCAGCATTCAGTTACATGGTGATAGTGAGGTCAACAATTCAGTGCTTAACTATTTTCATCATTTGATGTAAACAAATCTGTAGCTGCGGCAAGAATTTACACATGATAAGTGCATACACAATATATACCTGTAACAGCTAGTATAACACAATTACACAACAGCATTTTTTTTTAATACTCTGGAAGCAGATAATTCAGCAAAATCCAGGAAAAATAGAAATCTAACAGCACTGAACCAGAAATATACTAGGCTTACTAGCAGGCCGCAAAAAAGAAAATGACAGCGCTGCCGCCGTGTCGCGGAAATCCTTACCATGATACTGGCAGCGTTGCAGGAGGTTCTCAAGCACCTTGAGGCACACGGGGTCGTCGTCCACGGCGAGGACACGCATGCCGACGGGGAAATGGTCCCTGACCCTCCCCACGGCAGCATTTCTCTCATCTAGCCTCATCGGAACGGGAGAGAGCCTCCCAATCTCGACCCAATTCACGGCAAGAAACCAAACCGGCGCAAGAACACGCTGCAGTTGGTGCTCCCAGCAGAGCAGAGCAGAGCACCAGCCGCTGAGCCGAGAAGCAAAGCCAACAGGACAAACCTGTAGTTGGCACGCACCAATCCTATCAAGAAATTGGGCTCCTAGCTAGCAGTAGCGGCACCACCAGCCGGCACCACCCCGCACAAGGAGCGAGATGTGGACAGCAGGGAGGAAGATGGCTTGATGAAGGCCTCCCAATCCCCAGCAAGGAAAAGGGATGTGGGGAGGGGAAGGCAAGCAGAACCAAACCTACTGCTGCCCAACTGCAGCTGAAAAGAGGAAAAGGAGGGTGGCGCCTGGCGAGCCGGGATGGAAGGGCGAAGACAGGAAAGCAAGCGGCCGGTGGATTTGGACGAGAGTGGGGATGCAGCGGCAGCGGCAGGGTCACGACCAAACCCACCACCACCACCACCCCATCATTATTGGAGCAAAGATGTGGGAAAGCAAAAGGAGGGTAGGGAGTTGGAGGCGGCCGGCTTGGATGGATGGAGATGGAGGGAGAGGAAGGGCGGGCCAAAACAAAAGAGATGTGCGGGGAAAGCAAGCAAAGGAGCTGAAAAGCAGGCAGAGATGGCGACTGTTGCAGATGAACCAAGCCACCTCTGTCTCCCTCTCTGACTCTCTCTTTCCCACCCCCACACAAGGAAGCTCAGCAGTCACTACAGTCCACACCAGCTCCGCCTCCGTCTCTTCTCCAGCGGGCGCCACTGCTCACGGCATGGTGCATGGAACGCAAGGGATCCACACCAGCTCCGCCTCCGTCTCTTCTCCAGCGGGCGCCACTGCTCACGGCATGGTGCATGGAACGCAAGGGATGGAGAGATCGGTAACTTTTGGTTCCTGTGGTTGGGGAGGGAGAAGGAAGGAGGGAATGTCTGCGAGAGGCACGGCACGGGCTTGGGCGGGCGCTCCTCCCATGACTAACCATGGCTGATAGATATATGTGGGTCAAAATGGTGGCGGCGGTGGTGGCGGCGGCGGCGGCAAATGCAAGTGGGCCCCGCCCATGCACAAGCAACAACTGATCAGGCGTGAGTGATCCTCTGCGCCGTGCAATGCAACCAAGCGATACGACCTGTACTCTGCAAGCACTCGGTAATTCTCTAGTGCCGTGCTACCGCTACCTCTAGTGAAACTGTCAAAGCCTTCTTTCTCTATGAATTTATACTACCCCTCCGTGGTGTCGTCGTCGTCTTCTTCTTCTTTTTTTATACACCGCTTCAGCAGTACTTTTCAACAGATAAACAGTGTTTTCTTCTCCCAACGAATCAGCGTAAGCCAAATTTCAACGAAACGAACAGAGTCTTTATCTTCTTTTTTGAAAACTCCTTTTTTTTATCCGATGAAACACAGAATACTCGTCTAGGGCCGTGTTTTGCGGCGCTTCACCGATCGCTCCAGAAGCTGCTTCACAATACCTAAATAGCATCTCACGAAACAGCTCCATATCTAAAGCCCCGCAAACCCTGGTGCTTGAAGCTGAAACGCAATGGGCGAGCTAAAAAATCGAGCTTCACCTCACTCAATCTCACTCTCATGGGTCACGTCGTCCTCCCACGCCGGTCTTGATGCCGACGCTCGCGGTCACGCTCCATCGCACCACGAGTGTGCAGAAGTGGAGCTTGACCAAGAAATCAGGAGGGACTCATCTATGTAATATTCTATAAACAACAATCGACATTACCATATTTACTGTTTACTCAGTGCTAATTATGTTTGACACCAGCAGGTGAGGGCCAATGTCAGAGGAGTCTTGCGTCGGTGGAGGAGTCCGACGCGGTGTTGAAGTGTCGATGTCATCGTGCTGAGAATTGGGGCAACGGTAGGCGAGACAATTTTAGGGTGGCAAGGTAACGACGAGAGAGATGTAGGAGATGAGATAGATTCGGGAGGAGGGGACGAGAAATGAGTAATAGGGTTAACCCAATGACAAGTGGAGCAATGTATGAAGTAGGTCTAATGAGAAGCTGTTTTACTAAACATTTCTCGACCTATTAGATGAAGCTCGAGCAAAATGAAGTTATTCCATGAGAGAAGCTGGAACCAAAGCCATTTTATCCTCGGTCTGTTAGATGAAATTGTAGCAAAATGAAGCTATTCCACAAGTGTCGGATATCGATATTAGGGATACCCAAAGCAAGAAAGTTAGCGCCCACGCTGACTTCCCCAGATGGAGCAAGACGTATTAAAAGGTCTCGCCTGACCCCGAGGCTGCGGACTCCGTCTCAACCGACCTTGAGGCTGCAGGCTTCGTCTTGCCCGACCTCGAGGCCGCAGGCTCCGTCTCGACCGACCTCGAGGCCACAGGCTCCGCCTCGTCCGACCCTTGGGTGTGGGCTCCGTCTCGCCCGACCTCAAGGCTATAGGCTCCACCTCGCGTCAACCCCTTGGGTGCGGGCTCCGTCTTGCCCGACCTCGAGGCCGCAGGCTCCGCCTTGCCCAACCCTTTGGGTGCGGGCTCCATCTCGCCCAACCCCAAGGCCGCGGTTTCGGTCTCGTCCGACAGGGATCCATACCGTCGCCAACCACTCTAGGTCCAAGCGTATGGGCCTGGGTCAAAACTCTGACACCAAAGAAGAGGCTGGCACGCCTCGATGTAACCCATGGCCATGATGGGCTATACCTGAGGATTCACATCAAGAACAGCGTCGGGTGTGCCGGTGCTGTTCTGTCTAATCCTCGTATGAATGCTGGCAGGCGCGTCAGTTCACCACGACGTCCGGCGGGACAAAATGGAACGCCATGACTGGCAAATGATGCCTGCGCATGACGCCAGTGACGAACAGGGCCGCGACGTGGAGCCATCCCTGTTGACATCTACAGGATCGGCGGGACCCCCATGAAGGAGAAGAAGGACCCGGTGAGCCTGGAAGCCTTCTTCTCTCTCTCGTTCTTCTTCTTTTCCTCCGCTGTAACCTGTGCTTTCTCTTCACCTATAAAAGGGGAAGCAGGGCGCCCCATGAAGGGGGATCCAGAGGGGCACGGGCCGGACAACGAGATAAAAAACACAAGAGCATGACACGAGCACACGGCTGAGCAGCAATCGAGCTCTCAGCACCTGTTCACTCCCTCCACTAGAGACTGGGGATCCTTTTTCTCTCTCGCTTATTTGTAACCCCTACTGCAAACCAAGTGCCAGTAACACGAGCAGCAGCGAACTGGACGTAGGGACATTCCGCCTGAACCAGTATAAACCCTTGTGTCCTCCGAGCACACCATCCGAACCAGACGCGCAAATACAAATTTACTCGTAGGTGGTCCGAAAACACCGACAGTTGGCGCCAGGTAGGGGCTTTTTGCGTGTCTCGACGTCCATATCAGGCCTCAGCTGGGTCCTAGGCGCGCACGTGCATTTCGGGAACCTGGACTTCATCATTACAACAGAGGAAGAGTTGGGCAGGCTCCCGTCACCATCCAACCTCTCCACTCCGCCAGCCTCGACACGATCGTCAAGGCGCTTGAGAAGCTGCAACTGCACGCACCAGAGGCCCGTGCCCTCGGGAGCGACCAGCTCCTCGGCTTCAATTATGGGAGGCTAGAGCGCTAGCTCAGCGCCTTCCTAGGACCCCGATCGTCCCGGGAAGACCTAGGCCGCCTCACGTTCTCGTTCACCAATGTCATGACGCAGCTTGCCGGAGGAGAGCCGTTCTCCCCTGAATACCTCATCCGGAGTGCCCCGACAGCGCTCTCGTTTGGTCTGCGCAACGCCACGGAGAAGGTTGGCCACCTCGCGGCGCAACGTACGCCCTCATCCCCTACGAACGGCGAGTTCATGGGGATGACCGAATATGTCGCATAATCTTTTCACGACCTCCTCGCGGGAGAATTAGAGTCGCCCTCCGACTCTAACTCCAGCAGGGGGAGCCATCACCCCTCGCGTGAATGTTTCATGGCAGGTACCCCCGAGGGACACGTCGAAAGCATCCATGAGGGAGAGGCTACCCCAACAAATGACCTCAACGATGAGGTCGAGGGGGATGCAGGGGCCCCACGTCGCCTGTGGGTAGAGCAGTTGAGGGCCCGGCACCAAGAATTCAAAGAAGCACGACTCTAGCTCGAGCAGGAACACATGGAGCTCGAGCAAGAGATCGAACGCCATGGAGACGGTGGGCGTGCACGCGCCATGGCCTGTGACGTGAACTGGAGGATCATCGAGAACGACGAAGCCCTCCCACACTTCACCCGAGCAAGCCAGAACATCGCTACTGCGGCGGCCTTGCTCCTGGGGCTTCTAGGGCCCATGACATCCAAGGATCGTCGGGCCCATCGCAAGATTTGCACGTTACTCGAGCGTGCGGTGGCGCAGCAGGCTGATAGCTCGCTGTCCCGACAACATGAGCTCGACGCCAGCCAGCGCATGCCCTCAAAGCGACCCAACAAGGATGTGTCAGTCTACCGTGACGCGCGCGACACCCTCGACGCCCGCAGGCGTGCCCGCGGTGATGCGAGGGAGGAGGCTAGCCGCGGCTACCACCCTCGTCATGGTGGATGCTACGACAGCGGCGAGGACCGAAGCCTAAGTCCTGACTTGCCGGGACCTCAGGCCTTTGGCCGGCATATCCTCAACGTCGTCTTCCCACCGCGGCCTCGACCACCGACCAACATCCCAAAATACTCTGGGGAAACGAACCTCGGACTGTGACTCAAGGATTATCGGCTTGCTTACCAAGCTAGTGGAGTAGATAGTGATGATTTCATTATCCGCAACCTTCCATTGTTCCTGGCCGATTCAACGCAAACGTGGTTGGAACACCTTCCGTCTAACTGAATCCAAAGTTGGGCAGACCTAAAAGAGATCTTCATGGGAAACTTCTAGGCCACATGCGCACCCTGGGAACCCGTAGGATCTCAAGAACTACCGACAGAAGTCCGGGGAAACTCTTCGTGGGTACATCCGGCGCTTCTCCCGGCAGTGC